ACACTGTATAAATTACCCTAACTTATAACTCTGAGACAAGCTTAATCGCGATAGCAAGCGACAAATACCCTGCTAAATTTAACTTGACAATTAAAATTTCTAGGTGGATGGCGTAATTAGCGACGTAGGTGAAACAGGCGAAAACGGTGGAGCAGCAAGACACGCGGCGAGATTAGCGCACCTTGATCATCAGCTCAGCAAGATTAGTCTGCACTACAAGCATGCTGATAAGGTGAGTCAGATGTACTCCATGTAAAGTAGACAGAATAACGGTAATAAAAAAGAAGTTAGCGACCGAATCTATCGACACACGAAACCACGAATTACACTCCTTACTTATCTAAAAACTTTTGAAAAATGCTTCAGATGCTCGAAATTGTTTGCCAATGGAATGTTATATTATTTAGTTAGCAAAAATGTTTGGGCGTTAAATTAAATTATTACTGTTAGTTTATAGTTTTGTGTAATAAGATAATTTTTTACGAAATATAATTGTACTTTTATATTTTAGGACGTGTATAGTGAAGTGCATGGGGCTGATGAAATGTTGTCGGGTGGCATGAATGATAATGCTGTTAATACCTATGAAGATGGTAAGTTTATCTATTGCTTGAAATTTTTATTTGATCGTGAATATAATCCAGAACCACTAACATAATTCAAGCTGTTATTAAAATATAAAAAATCCGGAAAGCAATACCCATCTGTCTATCCTTATTATAATATATATATATATTTAATATTTTTATTAAAGCACATCACATAACACATTTCCTACAGTATAAGTTACAAATATATCTATTCAAAATTACGATGAACACAAATTTTACTAAAAAAATATGATACAAAAAACTATTTTTATTTTCACTTATATATAAAAATACTTGTCCTAATACAGAGGTACTTAAAATTTATCAGCCCACTACCGAATATATTCGGGAACAATTTGAATTAGAACTGCGCCTAGGTTGAAATATATATATATATATATAATATATATTTAAAGTATTAGAATAAAACACGGTACACAACAAAATATAACAAGATTTTTAGTAAGTTATTTGATTGTATTTAAATATTAACTAAATATTATCTAAGCAAATCCAATTTTCCAGAACTAAGCAGCGAAATTGAAGGCAACCGACGGTTTCGAGTGGCGAGAGCCTCGCCGCTCAGGAACTATGCATTATGTCGGCTTTTACCCGAACACATGCATGGTGAGTCAATTGTCTCTTCAATTATTTCTTTGTTTTAATACAATTCTAATTACTGGAAAATTCATGACTAACATTGACTAATTTTTCAAGTTCATGTTCTTGGATGTTATACATATTTTTCACATATATAAACCATTTAGGTAAAGACAAAATCGATCTAGTCCAATCACAAGAAGGTACCGTCGTAGAGGGCGGCGATGTCGATGGCGACGGCGACGCGGAAAACGACGCAGACGTTGAAGGTAAGTTATACTGACCCGCTTAACAAATAAGGTGACACTTAAAGTTATCCTTAGGGATACAATGGTGATGGTCTAGTAAAAAATTCTTTATCTGGAACAACAAACTTTACTAAAACAAAGGGAATTTGCTTTCGTTACTATTTTTTTATAAAACAGGGCAAAAGGCTCACCTGATGTTAAGTGATACCGCCCATGGACTCTCAATGCTAGAGGGCTTGCGAGTGTGTTGCCGGCCCTTTAAGAATTATATTGAATTATTGTGAATTCGTCTTTTTCACATTGTGGTGTATCAGTTTTGCTTTCATCACGGCCATTATATCTATTGATTTTAACGTAAAAGCGATTGAATTATATGTAACTTACATTTTTGTTATCAAGGTCCTAATGTAGTTGTATAAAGCTCTCATATATTATTTTAGTATATTATACGCTTCATGACATGTTATTAATATGTTAAATGATAATCGCGAGTAATATTCCTCATTATCTCAAGATTATAAAATGACAGACACTTTAAATTAAATATAAAAAAACTTCTTGTATTAGTTACTTTACCTATTTTATACTAAAGAACATAACCATAATTTGTTTTTACTCATGTAATATATGTTTATTTAAGGTGAAACATCATGTGATAATACCTCTTGGTGCGAAGAAAATGCGCATGACACGTACGTGCTTACGGATAGTACGCGCGCACGTACGTACGTCGTTGAGGACGCACTTGCCGGACATAGAGTCGCGATTATGGATCCTGCGCCTGTAACTATTGTACGTAATTTTGTATTTTTTATTCAAACCAAAATATTCTTTATTCATACAGGAATTCATTTCTCATATTATTAATACTAAACTATTTTCTGATTTCAGAGTGAAAAGAAGTTAAGTCCAGATGATTTACTAGAGGAGGGAGAGCAAACAGAGCGAAGTTACTTAATAATAGACCCATTGCGGGACATGACCTGTACTGTCATTGACAACTCCCTGAGGCTGCACCGGGAGGCTGTCTTCACCCCATTCGTGGAAAGCAGGTATGCTGGAGTGATCATAGTGACATTTGATAATTCGATATTTCGTTAACCATATTGCAAAAAATATGATTATTGATAACACTTATTAAGTGGTTGCACCTGAATGAACTTGCTGGCTTTCGTTTTACACTTTCATCCTCACTATTTGCTCGGTTAAGAAATATTTTCTTAAACTGTGATTTTTCATTCCGTAGCATTCTGACATTTCATAAGTGTTCTCCATCGAAAAAGGGACAAATTTGACCCATTTGAGGGCAATAAAAATGGCATCACTGCCTACTAATTCCAGGTTTGGTAAACCTTTTTAAAAAGTAAAATGTTATCTTTGCTTGTGCGTTTTTTACTGAAATGGGATGTAATTATCACTCGCCGGAAAACCACTTTTGATGTGGAGCACCGCACTTAATAAAAGTTCACTAACAAATAAAATGTATGTATAGGCTCAGATGTACAGACTCGTATTGAAATTGAAAATGTGCCCGGCCAAAAAGGTTTGTAATCTCTGACATGTCAAAAAATGATAGAATGGTTTTATAGAACAACATACCTAAATATAAGACAGTATGTAAAACGTGAAACTTGCGTAGGAAATCGCGACGTATAATGGCATATTACCAAAAATTATATTATGGGGCATCCACACGCTGGCTGTTTGTCACAAACACCGCAAAAAGTAAACGAAGTCCCAAACACCAACCACAATCACCCAACACAAACAGCCATCCACATGCTTGGCGAACGTTCATAACATTCCGAATCGGCAAACATGGCGGACGACGAGCTTGTTGCAGCTATTACTTTCGGGTTGACATATTTTTATTATAAATTAAAGCAAGAGAAAGAAAAAAGGAAAAAAAGAAGAAAGCAAAGACGATGGTGGATGATTAAAATACATAGAAAGCGTACAAGGCTTTAGACCTATTATTTGAGCTTTACTTTGCCGTGTTTTTTTTAATTTTACTTAAAAGTTACTTAAAAATGTCAGAATCGTAGGTGCTCCAATCAGACATTTTTTACGCGCCAACGAAAGTGTAGCAAGTAAATACGTCCGCCTCCCGCAAGCTCGCGCGCATTCTGATCGCTGCCAAACGTGTGGATACGTAGCAAACTGTTTGCCAAACATCCTTTGATCTGGCAAGATAAACCGACACCGATGCCGAACACTGCCCAACACGAACACAAACAGGCAAACAACGACAAACACCCATCCACACGTCCGTGTTTGCTGTTTGCTGTTAGCTGTTTGCCATTGTTTGTCAAGCGTGTGGATGGGCTTTTACATAGTTATATTAACACAAATTACCAGCAAATAGATATATTTAATGTAACTAAAGAATGTTTAAAAAATAATTTAAAAAATTCTGGTATCTTTTATTAATAATGGCTTTGTTATTCTTCCTTTATATTAAATATATATTATAATGATCAATGAATCTGAGAACTTAGAATTTATTATAAATACATATACACTTTGTTATATTTTTTCTATATATATATACATATATACATAGGTGAAACTGTGCTTTGTTTATGTTTGAATGTGTATTCCGTTTTTGGCTTTTGTATACAATGTATATTTTTGGAGAAAATAAATAAATAAATATTCAATCATTGATTAAACGTTAATTAAGTAATTTCACTGTAAATCAAATCGAACACTTAAAATATAAAATATTCCCTTTCGTATTCCTTGGATATTCTATCTATAGATTCTAAACCTTTACTTAATTTAATGGCTTGTAAGTCCTCTATTCTAGTTAAATATGTAAATAGAAAGAAATTTTCCAGATATCAAAGCAAGCCGATAGAAGGCGAGACAGTTCCCGTAAGCGAAGAGTTGTCAAGGTGGAAGATAGCGGAGGGGGATGAAGAGGGGCGAGGAAGCGCGAGGCCGCGGCTCGTGGAGGGGCTCAGTGCGGGGTCCCTCGTCGCTGATCTACTCATCGATGAAGCTCTCACTGATAAAGGTACCAGTCTCACTTGACTCTAGTAGGTCACCGCATGCTAATTTGGACTCGCCTTGCAAATAAATACGCTTGTCGTATTTTAATTATAATAATTACTTTATTTACATCATAAATAATACAATAAAACATGTAATTGTAAAAGTAGACAATAGATGTAAAAGTGTATTAATAACAGTTTCTTTAGCACATTATCCTCGTTTATATATATGTAAGTACTTTATGCTACATATTATATTAATGTTGGTCGATTGTTACAGTGCTGTGTCGTCAAGTAGTGTTGCTGTCAGTGCGTGGGCGCGCGGCGTCGTGACGCGGTCACCTGTACCTTATATTTATTCTGTACCATACTATATCTATATCATTACTCGTTAATTATATTCATATGTGATATCCGAAACTTGTGTTTTATTTATATATTTCCTGAGATATAAATTAAGAAAAACTTAAGTCATTGGTTGAGCAATAAAGCAAGCTCTTGGACTTCTTAACTGCAGTTTGTACTTGCTTTGAACGATAAAAGTTAAATATAATTGTAAAATCTCTTTAATAACTATATAATATACTACAAAGCATAAATACGATGATCATTTTTAATGACCCGGCACTGGTTACTGCTGATCCTCTCATCTAAAAATAAATTTAAATGATAAATAAATAAAAATTACCTTTGAAGCCTTTTTACCACATAATTGAGAGTAAGATCGTGGAACTCACCGTTCGGGTAATCCATGTTGTATAGCTAGAGACCCTGGAGTTAACTCGTGGGTAATTTGGGTGCCCACAGTCGTATGCCCATGATGTTATGCCCACTACAACCCCATTGTATATTACGGGGCCTCCGCTATCGCCCTGGCACGCGTCTTTTTCTACAATTAAGTTATTGTTAATTTTAATGTATATGAAGATCTATTCATATAAGAGAGTAACTTTGTCGGACTATTTATTACAAACACGAAAAATAAATACCAACAGTAAACTTATTAAATTATAATAATAAAAAAGGTCGTGAATAATATTTGTGACTAGGGATTACATTTTTAAAAGAGCAAATCTTCACTGCTTTCATGTAAATTGTAATATACCAAAATATGACGTTAATAATACGAACAGATGCGTGTTTGACATGTGAACGTTTCTGTTTATATATGTTAAACAATAGCAGTGTCAGCCTATTGGTTTTCATGTGCGACTCTCACCCTCAGGGGTGGAGGTCGAACCTGGAACGGGGGGGACCTCAAAAATCGACGACATGTGTTAAAAGGCACTTACTATGAATGAAAAATAATCAATGAAACGTTTGCAATCTGAGGCCAAGAACCAATTTGGGTTCCAGCTCCACTGGATTATTTTTATTATAATTACTTTTATGTTTTAAAACTTACGTCCAACATCAAGGATTCCTGCGCAAAGCATGTCGTTGGTGACTATATAAGTCTGCCCCGTCAATTGACTCAGTTGATTGTACCTTATGGAGCAAATCGTCAGGTTGATATTTTGTACATGCACTTCGTTGAGAACTGTTGAGCCGACGGCCACATTTACCTGAGAATTTACAAAATCATAAATAATGTTAAACTAAAAAGAACATTATCGAGGGCCTTGATTCAAGGCATCATAATATGAAATTATGATATGACGAGCGCCATCTGTATTAGTATTGGGAGCAATACAACTATAAAACTTTATTATTTCAAAACACCAATAGGTTAGGTTCATACCTATATGTTTGATAGTTTGGGGAGGTGAGTTATTTCTCTTCTTTAAATACACCCATAATTATTTATTCCAATTTTTACCTTTGCTACTAAACTATTGTACTTACATTTACCACAAAAGTGTAGCTAAATTAAATTTTGCTATTGGCAATTAACCCAGACACGTATTATCAAACACATTATTGGCCGAGTAATTTTTATAGCGTTAAACAGTATTCGTCAGAAATCTCTTAACATAATAAGTTCTTACATTAGTCTGTCCCCATCCAACAAATGTAACAGGAGCTCTATCTGGCACCATATTCCCTTGCTGAGGAATAAAGGCCAGAGAGATTTGATTGCTTAGCGTCACGCGACGAGACAGAAACAATATTCCAATGTCGTTATTCCGTATTGGTATATTATAATTTTCGTGAATTACAAATCTCGATACACTCACTACTGTTCCACCTGAAATATGTTTTAAATGAAACAATATATTTTTTTAATCGGAGGGCTATCGCCAAGTATAATTCCAATATGTCAAATCTAATAAGCTTTTGAGATGTCACACTTAGCGCAAAATCTCGCAATTTTAGGAAGCATCTTTTAGCTTTTTATTCAAATTCCAGCAAGATACATTTAAAAAACCCTTTAAGTTCAATTTCAGTTCACCGTTCTTAAAACCCCAAAGTGAAAGTAAATATAAAAATAAATAGTACACTGATTTCATATACCTGTCAACTGAAAATGAAACAAAATAAAGATATATTACAAATATTTACACCTATATTATACATTTCCAATCCAGGAATGCGCTTTTTTACCAATTTTAATTAAACTTTGATCGTTCCCCAATATACCAACACCTAGAATCATGCCAATTGTTAGTTTCCGCGAAATAAAATAATCTTATCAAGTTAAATAAAATAATCTTATCAAGTTAATTACAAGTGATTAACAATTTAAATAGATAACAATCAAACTAAAATATTGTCCACGACCATCAATAACATATATACATACATCAACATGGTAAACTGATAAAAAAAATTTAAATTGATGAATAAATAAAATCTACTTAATAACAGTTTTTCATAAGTGTTACAAAATTGAATAAGTATATTAATTACCTGAACCTTGCATTGTGGACCCTAACCGTACACTCAACTGCGAAGGTCTCACCATTTGACCATTTCTGAAATACATTCGATTATAAATATATCGATTAATTCGTTGAGATAATTGCTTAAGCAATTTTTATCTTAACCAATATTGTTAAAAAGTTACCAATACCATTTTCTTATCTCCTGACTCAAATAAAGAAATCAGTATTTGTAAATAATTCCCATATTTTCTATTCCAGTATAAAAACTCTTTAGTATGTGACTTACAAAGTAATGAAAACACTAGAGCCTAAAATAAGAAAAAAATATATTTTCCAATACATTAACTAATAAGCCAAGGAAATCGATATTTTGACGGTACCTTTCCTATATATCTACAACTGTATCGTTTTTGTGCGTAGTAATATTATTAAGACAAATCTAAACTGAATAAACGTATTTGGATTGATTGATTGATTGCCAATAATGCAATGAAAAGTAAAGTTCTCTTAGGTCTCAAAGGATCTCTATCTGTCTATCTAACGTTCATCGCCAGCGGCTTATTTAGAATACTTTAATAGTATTTAGAGAAATGTTCTCTCCATAATTTGATTAAATAAAAAATATATTTAAGAATATAATAAATACTAGGTATTCTATAAACTATAATAGCACACATACTACATTCTTAAATATATTTTTATTATATTCCTAGAACGAAATCGGATACGAAATCTAATCTTTTTAATCCCAAGCACAATTCCAATAATTTTGTACAAGTACATTTTCGTCTAATTCCTGTAAATGTTATCAGCAAAAGTGATTTAATTTTGAGTATTATAATAAATGATATCACCATTTAAGACTACTTCCTCATGAATCATGATGTTTCGAATGTTTGATCGTTTTAATAATATTCGGTTAATGTCAAAAAGGCGGTTAAATCCTTGCTTTCAGATTTCAGCATTTGTTTCCTTGATGATTTATTTGGATATGGTGCATAGGTGCGGTTCAAACGCTCGTCTCCAGAGGTGAGAGTCGCATACTTAGCCGCTAGGCTGACGCTGCTCTATTTTTGTCTACTTACTGAGCAATAAGACAGTGGGCCGAAGTGAGAACATGTGAAGTGGACAGGAGTGAACCGCCACATGTCAAACCACCGTTCAGAAGAACCTGAAATAATAATTTGTGTTAGACTTAATATATCTATCATGGCTAATGGTTCTAATAAAAAGTGCTAAATAAAAAGCAACGGTAGTGTTATCAGTTATTAGAATAAATGTTGTATGCAAAGTTAAACATAAAAAGTAATATATTTATTGATCAAAAGTCAAAACGGTACCTGGCTAAAGGCCTATGCCGTAACCCACAGTTACAAATCGCCTACAAATTTAGTTTTTTTTTTTTTAATGCGTTAAAACCTTAGTTATTATTAAGTTTACAGAAAATTTATTCATTTCTCTATTACAACGAATAATAATGTACATAAATTTATTATTTTACGATTTTGAAAATTATTTCACCTGTCTGAGACAGTTTATTAATACATAGACTGTAGATTACTGCTGAGAAATTGTGATGTACAGTTTCCATGACATTTAGGGTATGTTCCGATATACACTGCGACCACTGTACAGAGTACCGTCAATTACTCTTTTATTATACTCATTAGTATACTGTGAAACCGTTTCTCTATAGCCAGCTATACTGGTTACAATTTAAAACGGAACGCAGTCCAGTATACTAGTCAGCTTCGTTTTTCGACACAGTTTTCAAATGAGTGCATCAAAGTTTTTCAATTCAACAAGAAAAACTATTATTGGAGTATTATCGCATTAAAAAAATCTATATTAATATTAACTGTCAATTGAATTAATACTACAAAGAAAGTAAGTATTTTTTAATTAGAAAAAGTCTGTTTATCATAACTCAACTTATATTAACTTTCTGTATTACTTATAATGCAAAGGTTATGTAGGGTAAAAGTAAGGAGTTTTCTTTATAAAAATTAGTTATTAATTACTACAAATAAAAAACAATTCACAGCTAATGGAATACACAATAATTGGAATTGTGCTTGTTGGTGCCGTTGTTCGAGTATTACTTACACAGTCTAATAAACTCAATTTTCGTAAGTTTTCCATTGTTTCATTAATTAGTCCAAGCTAATTCTTTAATTAGAATTTTAAATGTTTGTTATTAAACTGTAAGTTATATCAGCCGTTAGGCATTCAAGTGGTTTTGATTGATCACGTGATCAAAGCACTGCGAGTACCTTACCTCGAAAACGCCAGTGCTCGCAGTAGAAGTATAGCGGGGATTTGTGACGTCATATATTTCCCTAGGACGCTGCGGCTGTATACTGGCAGTCCATAGCGGAACGAATTTTTGAACAGTGGGAGCACTATACAGTACTCGCAGTGTATATCGGAACATACCCTTAATTGTGATGTACAGTTTCAATGAAAGCACGCTGCTACAAGTAGTATAATACGACAAATTTCTACCTGCACTGTATATGGATATTTTTCTATATTAACTGGTTGTCCTCCAATAATCCTATGGTCAGTTGAAAGAGTGTCATTTAATTTGGTCAAGTCAACGCTTGAAGCTCCTCTGAATAGTCCTGTGCTTGTGCTGTTCGGAAGAATTTTTAAAATATGTAATTATTACTTCACATAATATTACAGAAATATCTAATTTACAAAAAACACCACGAAGAACTACAAACTATTAATTCTATAAATTATATAATAATTAAAGCAGAAATGTATCTAGAACTTAATTTATTAATATTTATGTACTTAACCAATTTCATACTTGGATAAATCAAAAGACCACCACATAAACCAGTTACAATATTGCCATTTTTGACAAAGGACAGGCTGTATGTCATTCGGCTGGTGAATAGTGAGTATGAAAATTTCTGTTTTTTGTATATTAAAATCCTATAAGCGTTGAATAATAATGTTTTCCAAGCCGAATCGGCCATAGTAGTCTTGAGACTGACAATTTACAGCGGAGATATAAATCAAAGACAAATTACACTCTATTCCGCTTAAACTCTAATAATACGGATGTCTGGGATGATAGGAGTGTCACGTGAGTGATTATTATCATTAAAAATAATCTTAGAAATTGCAATATCGTTTTCTTTACGCACCCAAGCAAAACGAAAATTAGGTATTAAACATGCTTGGGCGTAAAGCAATAATGAAGCTATTATAACTATTTTCAAATTGTTAAAAAAAAATTTAAACATAACATTATCATATACGAAAATTTAAAGAAAATATAATCATTTAAAAAATCTATTAATGGTTGGAGCACTTCTTACCGAAGTAAACTGGATTTAAAAACCTCAAACGAATGATACCAAATAAACATAAAGTTTTTTATGAATGGTTTATTTTAGCAATAGTTCTTAGGGTCGTAACATTAAATAAACATACATTATAGTGATATTTAAAAAATAAATAAATTACTCACACAGGCCAAATAAGATTAACATAAAATATGTACACAACATTTTGGCTCACCACTCAACAAGTACTAATACAAAGGAGTATAAAGGTAGTAAATATATCATCGACGTTATCAATGATAAAGTACAACGTATTGGTTGGTCACTATGACAATCTCTTAAGGATGAGCTTTTATATTTGCTAGTAACGCTTGTCGACGTACGTATATCTACCTTGTTTGGATATTTTGATAGAAGGTGTTCTCAGTAAAAAAAAAAAATTATCTTCACTCATTCGAAAATAGTTTTATAACTCTCAGGATCTTGATCTACTAATTCGGACACTAAAAAGAAAATGCAACAGTTAAAAGTCCAAAACTGTCACGTTTAAATTCCACGTGCCAGATGTAAATCCTGAGGATTTAGCTAGCAATTCGGTAGGCCTTAAAATAGATTAGATAAATAAAAAGCTTTTACAGGAATAACACTATATGCTACTATATAATAGCACGTATCTATATACAGTTTACATATTATAATCGTAGGCTGGTAACCATTATAGCATTTTTAACTTCCTTATCAGAAAACTATTGAAATATAAATTTAATTACCATTGATGTTTTATGGAATTTTTAAGAAAAGAGCGTACCAATTCCTAAAACGCCGGAAACGCACTTGCAAGCCTTCTGGCAATGTGAGTGTCCATGGGCGGCGGTAACGCTTATCATAGGCTAACGTAGGCCTCCTGCCCGATCGCCTGTTACATAAAAAGAAAATAAAAACAAAGTATTAAAAAAAGTAATGGTGTTATTCATAAATGTATATAAAAGATCAATTATCACTTAGTATGAAAGCTTTTATAATTATGTTTTATGTATTTTCTAACAAAAATCTAATGAAACAGGTTACAAACGACTTCTTCCCGAGTGGCAGAGTAGTGCATTCACAGAATGGATTCGAGATATTGTGATGCAGTTGCAAGCTGAACCACACACTCGTGCTACTTTGAGGCTGCAGATAGAAAAGGTGCATTTAGCACATATTAAAATGCGATGTCAGGCATTTTAATATGTGCTAAATGCACAACAAGAGATGAAAAAAGCACATCTAAAATGCTTAAAGTTGAATTACTTATTAATTTATGAACTAAAAATAAGACTTATGAACGGATGACTGATGAAGACGAAATTGTATTTGCATAAATAACTTTTTTTTAATTATTTATTTATTTTGTTATCAAGCTTACGACATCACACACAGTCCTAAATTTACTAATTATTTTACAAAATCTTACATCTAAAAAAAAATCAAATAGAAATTTAAAAAAATACAACTAAACCCCACACGACAATACAAGCACACATTTAAATAAAATAATTTTTTTTAACATAAACAAAATAAAATTGTCAACAAATTTCATTAAAATGAAATTTGTTGGCACTAAGCAGAGAAAAAAAGAAAAATCAAAAAAAGAAAGGCACCACAATGCTTTCTCTAAAACCAATCAGCCGGCAGCCCACTACCGAATCAAATCAAATCAAAATACGTTTATTCAATTTAGATGCTTCTAAGAGCATGCTTATGAATGTCAACAACGTTTACAAAATTCACGAAAGAGCAGGACTACGCCATCCGTTCGCAAAACTACCAGGAGGCCTTGTTCTGAGAAGAACGGGCAAGAAACTCAGCAAGTTTTGCCCTCCATTTACATTACAATTATTCAAAGGAAAATGTCATAAACCACAACGTCATTAAAGTTACATAAGTAAAAAAAATAAAAATCTGTTCTGTGATTTACCATATTCACCATTACACACATATTCATAACACTTCAAAGATAACAAATCAAATTATAAGAACATATAATTAGAACTATTGCCAAGCGTTTTTATCTTCCAGGTAGTCATTGACTGTGTAGTAACCTTTACACATTAAGGTTTTTTTGATATGTGTTTTGAATCTGTTTAAAGGCAGTTCCAATATTTCACTAGGAATCATGTTATAGCAGCGTATACTTAGGCCCATAAATGAAGTATTTATTTTCTGCAACCTGTAAGACGGCTGGAAAAGTTTTCCCTTATTTCTTGTATTCCTATTGTGAATGTCGCTGTTCTTTAAAAGAGAACTAATATTACTACGCACAAAAATGATACAGTTGTAAATATATTGGGAAGGTACCGTCAAAATATCGATTTTCTTGAACAAATTTCTAAGTGAAGTGCCTGGTTTCAAGCAATAAATTGACCTAATAGCACGTTTTTGCAAGATAAAAATCTATTGTATATCTGCTGCTTTGCCTCATAAAAGAATTCCATACGACATAACGCTGTAAAAGTAACTAAAATATACTATTCTGGCAGTTTCCTCGTCTGTGAGCTCCAGATAAGCTGTGTTCAATTTGTTAAAATCGCAAAGAATTCGAACGAGAGGTGCCTGAACTCGTAGGTGGGTTTTGGCAGAAGGAATTTGGAAGATATTGTTGATTTTAAACCTAGGGAATGATTAAGGGAAGACAATTTTGATATCCTGTAAGAGGTCACTGCTCTGTATATGGTTATTGAGCAATTTATGCAAGAAGGTAACACAGGCTAGAGTTCTCCGATTGTACAGAGATAACATATTTTTTTTTTTAAGTCGCTGATGGTACGGGTGTCTATGTGGAAATCCTCTGCTTATGAAAGCTAGGTGTGGCGTAAAAGATCTTTGAATTATTCTTAACGTCGTTTACAAATAGTTAGAATAGCAACGGTCCCAAATGGGATCCTTGCGGAACACCAGATCGCGCAATATAGTAGACTCAGCGCCTCCAACAACTACTGACTGGCCTGTTACGAAGATAAAATTTAAACCAGTTCAGCAAATTCTCTCCCATTCCATAACCACGAAACTTCTGAATCAGTAACGCGTGACTGACTTTGTCAAACGCATTGCTAAAGTATATATGGCATCAATCTGGCGCCCACGATCTAATTCCTGATATGTTTCAGTAACAAAAGACATGAGGTTCGTTTGCATTGAACTGCCTTTTCTAAAACCATGTTGCTCATCAATCATACAGCCGTCTAAACATTTGGAGATTACGGGATACAGGACAGACTCAAAGAGCTTGGAAAAACAAGATAAAATACAAATAGGACGGTAATTTTTTACGTCGGTGATATCTCCCTTTTTATTCACAGGTACAACACGAGACCTTTTCCATACTTCAGGAAAAACACCATCTTTAAGAGATCTATTACAAATAACAGTTAGGGGCAAAGATAACACAAATCTACATCGTTTTACAAAGATAGGAGGAATCGAGTATGGCCCAGCTCCTTTGTTAGTATGAAGACCTTTTATTTTCTTAGATATTTCATCTTCTCTAAAGCTAAGGGACATTAGGCCGTCAACATTGCCAATGTCGTCGGGAGTGGAACTGCCAACAAGTGATTCATCACAAGTGAAAACATCACAGATGAAAATTGATATGAAAAAAGATTAGCAATATCAGGTGATGACTGTGCTGTTACATTGTCCATTTTCATGCAAGAGGGAAGCGATGAGTGACCACCTTTCCTATTTTTAATAAAACTCCAAAAACATTTAGGATTATTAGGAATACTTGCCTCAATATTTCGCTTATATTTAGTGTAGCAATCATCATCATAAAGTTTGTGACAACGTTTTCTAATAATGTGATAGGTACTCTATTTCGTCTCGAGGATTCTTGTATATTCGATACCTCTTACGTGTTTTTTCTGTTTCAGCAAGTAATTTTATTAAGGAAGAACTGAACCACACCGGATACTTAGATTTAGTGATGGTCGTTTTAGGTACAAATTTGAATATAGGTAGTTGTGTTAAGAATTTTGTAGAACTCAGATACCATATCATTAACATCATCATGAGCGCGTAGGCTATTCCAATCAATGGTTTTCAGATCCCCTATTACACATAGTCAGCTTTATAAAAATTTAGTTTAGTGTTACCTCTCATTCGTAAAAAAGATATTTTAGAATATTCAATACTTAACAATAAACTACTACTATGATTCGCGTATATTTTACTTAACGAGTCGGAGGGGGCTGATACATTAATACTAGACATATTACTTAATACTAAATCTAAGAAACGATCATCGCTATTACCTATACTATTAAATTGCTTTAGGCTATTCATAGACATAAAATCAATCAAGGCAAAGCCAAGTGTATTGTTATAAATATCGAAAGTTTCTTTAAAATAAAAATATAATATGACCATCCGATTTGGTATTGGTAGAACTTGAACGATCTCTACGATAAACAGTTGGTGCGTTCCACTAAACGTTCACAAAGCTCACGCTCACGACCGCTGATTTCCCCATTCCACATGATTGTGAATGTTACTGTCGTTAACTCAAGTGGAATGTCTCAAGTGACATATGGTTCTAGTTCTGGTAGTTGTGAAGGGGGTCCGTGTGATGACTTTATTCGCTGCGTTACTTTATCAGAGCACAGAGGTTCACTCTCCGAACTTGCTTCTTGTGAGCTCATACTATGGGGGCTACCATCGGAATTTTCACAAGTCAGCAATGCCGTCTTTGCATTGCTAACATTAGTCGGTTTCCTAGAGCATTCGGGACATCTAAATGACGCCTTTTGTCTTGCGACCATCTCAACAAAGCGCTTGCGGGAGACATTATCACATACTAGGTCGTATTTTAACTTGCAGATATGACAGCATAAAAATTCCTTTTTTGGTAGCTCAATATGACGGCTAGCACAACAATTTGAAGGCCCCATAGCAACTTTTAATAAATAGAAAAAACAAAACAAGTGAGTTGGAAGTTGGATATTGGAACCACGTCATAAACTATACAACGATGTTTTGACAGCGTTCTGCAACACTGAGCCGAGCGAACAGTCGGGTGCTTAGCCGAAATAATAGAATATATTCCAGACCAATAGCGGAGTGCAAACGCACAACGCGTCACCACGTTGACCAAAAACTCGACACTGTTTTATTATACCTTTATATACCTAACTTATTTAACAAAACCTATGTATTGTTTTAGAATTTAGATTGATAGGCACAGAAAGCTAGCATAGTTGTTTTAAAAATAGATTAATAAAATAGAGGTTTTCAAACAGTATTACTTATGGAGTTTAGATCACGTTTGTTTCTGCGTGTAAATTTTTCGTGAGTTTTCTGAGAGTAACATTATTCGTAAGTATTAAAACTCTGTGTGTTTGTTTCAAAACAATATAACTATGTTTGGTTATTACCTTACAGACGGACTACGGTCTACGACTCTGAAACAACAGAGCGTGAAGAGAATCTTACGGACTCCAACCAGGATAACTCTGAATGCACCACGCCCACGGCTTCACAAGATAATATCGCGTTGGAGTTAGACGGAGAACCGTACCGAACGTACAGCTCTTGGTGCCTTGGTTGGAATACTTACTCTCTATGATCCTTTATTAATGTTCTATTTAACTCCTTGACGATGTTTTTGTCTATTTTTTGTTTTTTTTTCATTATATTTTTCCACAAGTATTGCAAAATTAAACTTATATGAAAAATTTTCTTTGTTTTATTTCTCATTTCTGAACCATTCAATCAGCAATGTGGCAAAGCGAAGCAGTGGCAGGGAGCTAGTTATTAATAATAATTTATTTTCTGATTTCAGGGTGAAAAAATGTTAAGTCCAGATGATTTACGAGGGTGAGCTACTTACATAATAACTACGTAGATACAACTAGTTACTTAATAAAAATAAATTGCGGGACATGACCTGTACCGTCATTGACAACTCCCTGAGGCTGCACCGGGAGGCTGTCTTCACCCCATTCAGTGAAAAACAGGTATGCTAGAGTGATCATAGTGGCATTTGACAATTTGTTACATCGGTAACCATTTTGCAAAAAATCTGATTATTGGTAACACTGATTAAATGGTTGCAATTTAATGAACTTGTTGTCATTCGTTTAACGCTTTCATCCTCACATTTGCTAGATACGTGCTCGGTTAAGAAATATTTTCATAGCTTCTTAATGTAAAATTGACACTGCTCAATTTGAAAGAAATTTAATTACATGAATTTTACAAATGTGACGAATAATCATAACGGGATGGTTTTATAGATCAACATACCTAAACTTAAGACAGTATGTAAAACGTAAAACTTGCGTAGGAAATCGTGACGTATAATGGCTTAGTTATATTCAATCATTGATTAAACGTTAATTAAGTAATTTCGATAGAAGATAACGGAGGGGGATGAAGAGGGGCGAGGAATCACGAGGCCGAGGAGGGGCTCACCGCTCAGTGCGGGGTCCCTCGTCGCTGACCTACTCATCAATGAAGCTCTCACTGATAAAGGTCCCAGGCACACTTGACGCGACTCTAGTAGGTCATCGCATGTTAATTTGTACTCGCCTTGCAAATAAATACGCTTGTAATATTTTACTTATTATCATTACTTTATTTACATCATAAATAATACATATTTAAAAGTAGAAATTAGATGTAAAAGTGTCTTAATAACAGTTTCTTTAGTACATTATCCTCGTTTATATATACATATTTAAGAACTTTTATTTCAACGCACATAAAGCTTTGTGCTACATATTATATTACTGTTGGTCGATTGTTTCAGTGCTGTGTCGTCATTTTTGTTCCGGGGGGGGCACAAAAGAAAGAGGAACTTTCTAAAAATAAGGAACGTAACGTACGGACCGGTTGCTGTCAGATTAAAGCGGTGGACTGTGTGTGACGCGCGAAATAGTTTCAGAATATGGATTTTAAATAACACTCTTCAAGGCAAAGGCAGCTACTTATTTTAAATAAAAACTTTCCCTTTTTGTTGTACTTGTTGGACGATTTATGTGTACGACAGTTTTTTCCCCCGGCCCCCCCCGCCCGGGGATGGTTGTTGTTGTGGGTGCTGGGGCGCGCGGCGTCGTGACGCGGTCACCTGTACCTTATATTTACTCTGTACCATACTATATCTATAACATTACTCGTTAATTATATTCATATGTGATATCCGAAACTTGTGTTTTATTTATACTTTTCCTGAGATAGAAATTTAAGAAAAACTTAAGTCATTGGTTGAGCAATAAAGCGAGCTCTTGGAATTACTTACTACTTACTAAATGAAATTGTAAAATCTCTAATAACTGTATAATATACTACATAGCATAAATACGATGATCATTTTTAATGACCCGGCACTGGTTATTGCTGATCCTCTCATCTAAAAATAAATTTAAATTATAAATAAATCAAAATTAGCTTTGAGGCCCTTTTTAGGACATAATTGAGAAAAAGATCGCGGAACTCACCGTTCGGGTAATCCATGTTGTATAGCTAGAGACCCTGGAGTTAACTCCTGGGTAACTTGGGTGCCCACAGCTTGATCCCCATGATGTTATGCCTACTACAACCCCATTGTATATTACAGGTCCTCCGCTATCGCCCTGGCACGCGTCTTTTTCTACAATTAAGTTATTTTAATGTATCTGAAGATCTAATCATATAATAGAGTAACTTAGTCGGACTATTTTTTACCAACACGAAAAATAAATACCAACAGTCTTTTGAAAATATGCTATAATAAAAAAAAAGGTCATGAATAAAATTTGTGTCTAGGGGTTTAATTTTTAAAAAGAGCAAATTTATAAATGTGACTAATTTTCACTGTTTTTCATGAAAATTGTAATAGACCAAAATATGACGATAATAATACGAACAGAAGCGTGTTTGACATGTGAACGTTTCTATTTATATAAAGTAAATAAATCAGTGGCGCTACAGCCTCTTTAGGTCTTAATCTCAGATTTATGAATCTGTTTCATGATCATTTTTAAATCATGAAAAGGTGATCAGCCTTCAGTGCCTGATACACGCCGTCGATTTTTTGGGTCTAAGACATGTCGGTTTCCTCACGATGTTTTCCTTCACCGTTCGAGCAAATGTTAAATGCGAACATAGAAAGAAAGATCATTGGTGCACAGCCAGGGATGGAACCTACGACCTCAGGTACGAGAGTCGTACGCTGAAGCCACTAGGCCAACACTGCTCTATACCGCTTTCTGTTTATTATATGTGATACAATAGCAGTATCAGCCTAATGGTTTTGTGCGACTCTCACCACTGAGGTCCCCCGGCCCAGGTTCGATCCCCGGCCGTGCACCAATAGACTTTCTGCCTTTCGTACAGTGAAGGAAACCAGCATGTCTCAAATACAAAAATCGACGACATATGTAAAAAGGCTGATCACTTAGTATGAAATAAAAATAATCAATGAAACGATTGCAATTTGACGCCAAGAACCATTTTGGGTTCTAGCGCAACTGGATATTATTATTATAATTACGTTTATGTTTTAATACTTACGTCCAACATCAAGGATTCCTGCGCAAAGCATGTCGTTGGTGACTATATAAGTCTGCCCCGTCAATTGACTCAGTTCATTGTACCTTATTGAGCAAATCGTCAGGTTGATATTTTGTACATGCACTTCGTTGAGAACTGTTGAGCCGACGGGCACATTTACCTGAGAATTTACAAAATCATAAATAACGGCAAACTAAAAAAAACAGTATCAAGTGTCTAGATTCAAGGCACACTCCGCATATGTAATTACTAGCTGACCCGGCAAACGTTGTTTTGCCTATATATATATTATTTCTAGGGAAAAAAAATTAGTTCAATAAAAAAAACTATCTACGAAAAAAATATTTTTTTCTAAATTTTCTATCTATCTATCTTATCTATCTATCTATCTCGTACAATAATAAAAATAGGGGTTGATCGTAGTGGGGGGAAAATTAGGGGTTGTATGTAGTCTTGGATGCTGTATCATAAATTTGGGGTTTGAAAAATAGTAGCCGATTCTCAGACTTACTGAATATGCATAAAAATTTCATAAGAATCGGTCGAGCCGTTTCGGAGGAGTATGGGAACGAACTTTGTGACACGAGAATATTATATATATATATGTAATTATGGTTATGACATTGTGAGAGGGAGCATTGGGAGCAATACAACATAATGATGGCTTCTCTAATGTACAACTGTAAACTAGAAAAATATTGTTAGGTTAGGTTTTATGTTTGATAGTTTGGGGAGGTGAGTTCAAGTATTACGAAACGAATTTGGGGGGGTTGTTTGTAAAACGTTACGATGCGGGGCGGGGATTGAATTTGAATTAAATTTAAATTAAATTAAAGTTTAAATTAAATTTCGACTTTCCAGAACTTTACCCCACATTACACCACCATTTTTAGGTCTAAAGAGTTACTGGTGGTGGTCACGGGGTCACGAAACGTTTTACTATTGGGTACAGAAAAATGTTACGGCGCGTTACATGGGGGAGGGGAGTCAATAATCTCCAAAAATTGCGTGACGTAATACTTGAACGCTCCCTTAAACAGTATTCGTCAGAAATCCTCTAACACAATAAGTTCTTACATTAGTCTGTCCCCATCCAACATATGTAACAGGAGCTCTATCTGGCACCATATTTCCTTGCTGAGGAATAAAGGCCAGAGAGATTTGATTGCTTAGCGTCACACGACGAGACAGAAACAATATTCCAATGTCGTTATTCCGTATTGGTATATTATAATTTTCGTGAATTACAAATTTCGATACACTCACTACTGTTCCACCTGAAACATGTTTTAAATGAAACAATATATTTTTTAATCGGAGGGCTATCGCCAAGTATAATTCCAATATGTCAAATCTAATAAGCTTTTGAGAAGTCACACTTAGCGCATAATCTCGACTCTCAATTTTAGGAAGCATCTTTTAGCTTTTTATTCAAATACCCTTTAATAGTTCAGTTCACCGTTCTTAAAACACCAAAGTGAGAGTTGAAAAAATGGTACACTGATTTCAAATACATGTCAACTGAAAATGAAACAAAATAAAGATAAATTACAAATATTTAGGTACACCTACTCGTATATTATACATTTCCGATCCAGGAATGCGCTTTTTTACCAATTTTAATTAAACTTTGATCGTTCCCCTATATGCCAATACCTAGATTCATGCCAATTGTTAGTTTCCGCGAAATACTTACCTACACTTATCAAATTGATTACAAGTGATTAACAATTTAAATAGATAACAATCGAACTTAAATATAATCCACGGCCATCAATAACATATATATACATACATCAACATGGTAATATTATTTTTTTTTTTAAATTGATGAATAAATAAAATCTGCTTTATAATAGTTTTTTCAGAAGTAACATAATTTGAGTATATTAATTACCTGAACCTTGCATTGTAGACCCTAATCGTACACTCAACTGCGAAGGTCTCAGCATTTGACCATTTCTGAAATACATACATTCGATTATAAATATATCGATTCATTCGTTGAGATATTTAAACTATAAACAGGCTCTTGAAAAAATATTCTTTGTTTTGTATTTCTAAAAAAAAAAAAAAAAAAAAAAAAAAAAAAAATAAAAAAAAAAAAAAAAAAAAAAAACCCAAAACAAAAAAAAAAAAAAAAAAAAAAAAAAAAAAAAAAAAACACCCCCCCCCCCCCCACAACCAAAAAAAAAAAAAAAAAAAAAAAAAAAAAAAAAAAAATTTTCCCCCCCCCCCCCCCAAAAAGGGGGCCCCATTTTTTTTTCCCCCCCCCCCGGGTTTTTTATTTAATTTTTTTTTTTTTTTGGGGGGGGGGGGGGGGGGGGGTGAAGGGGGGGGGGGGGGGGGGAAAAAAAAACCGGCGCCCCCCACCCCCGGGCCTGGCGGGTGTCTTTTTTCCTTTTCTTCCCCCCAAGATTTTGTTAAAAAAACCTTTTTTTTTTTTTAAATATATTCTTTATTTTATTCCTAGAACAAAATCTGATAAGAAATCTAATCTTTTTAATCCAATACACAATTCCAATAATTTTTTATAGTTTATATCTAATTCCTGTAAATGTTATCAGCAAAAGTGTTTAATTTTCAGTATTATGATAATGATATAAGACTAATACTTCTTTATGATTTTCAAATTTTAATCGTTTTGATAGTAAAACGAGGATAACCAGAGGTCCGGTGTCTCTCAGTTTTCGAAACACATATAACTATGTATAACACGCTATTTTCACGGATAGAATAATATTCAGGTTAAATCTTAGTAAATGTTAAAAGGCGGTTAAATCCTTGCTTTCGATTTCATCAGTTGTTTCATTGATGATAACGTTTTTTGGATATGGTGTTCAAACGCCTGTCTCCAGGGGTGAGAGTCGCATACTTAGCCGCTAGGCTGACGCTGCTCTATTTTTGTCTACTTACTGAGCAAAAAAGCAGTGGGCCGAAGTGAGAACATGTGAAGTGGACAGGAGTGAACCGCCACATGTCAAACCACCGTTCAGAA